ATGGTTTCTTCTAGTACCATCCATTTGTCTGCAAATTTCAAGATTCCATTGTTTTTTTTCCCCCGCTGAGTAGTACTACATTGTGTAAATGTATCACATTTTCTCTATCCACTCTTCAGTTGGGTGGCATCTAGGTTGCTTCCAGGTTCTGGCTATTACAAATAATGCTGCTATGAACATAGTGGAATACTTTGAGAAGAGTTGGTATAAGCTGTTCTTTGAATTTCTCATAGAATTCTGCACTGAGACCATCTCGACCTGGGCTAATTTTGTTTGGGAGACTTTTGATGACTGCTTCTATTTCCATAGGAGCTATAGGTCTATTTAAAATGGTTATCTGTTCTTGATTTAATTTTGACAAGTGATAGCTATCTAGAAAATTGTTCATTTCCTTTAAATTTTCAACTTTTGTGGATTACAGGTTTTCAAACTATGACCTGATGATTCTCTGGATTTCCTCAGTGTCAGTTGTTATGTGCCCCTTTTCATTTCTGATTTTGTTAATTTGCATGTTTACACTCGGCCGTTTCATGTTTCCTAATTTTGGATAAAGGTTTGTCTATCTTGTTGATTTTCTCAAAGAACCAACTCTTTGTTACATTGATTCTTTGTATCGTTTTCCTAGTTTCTACTTTATTGATTTCAGCCCTCAATTTGATTATTTCCTGGCCTCTACTCCTCCTGGGTGAGTTTGCTTCTTTGTGTTGTAGAGCTTTCAGCTGTGCTGTTAATTCTCTAGCGTGAATATTCTCCAGTTTCTACATGTGGGCACTTAATACTATGAACTTGCCTCTTAGCACTGCTTTCAAAGTGTCCTATAAGTTTGGGTATGTTGTGTCTTCATTCTCATTGAATTCTAGGAAGTATTTAATTTCTTTTTTTATTTCTTCTTTGACCCAAGAATGGTGCAATTGTGCATTATTCAATTCCCATGAGTGTCCCGACCCACAGGATATTCGTCTGGTAGACACCTAGGAGAAAGATGGAGGACAGGGAATATAAAGAATGGATGTCAAGACAGGATCTCATCAAGGCGACTTTACTTCATCCCAAAGGGATTTATATAAGGAAAGGGAGGAGGGGAAGGAATGGGAGTGTGTTGCAGCTGCAATGAGCCTAGTGGAACAGGTCAGTGGGAGAGGTAACCTCTGTGCTGCTTGGAAACCTAATTTGCAGGGCAAAAGGTCGGGGATAGAACTTCCTATGTTGCTAGGTAACCTGATGGTAGGTTCTTACTTTATCTAGCTCAATCTTTCCTATGTCCTCGCCTAACTCCTGGCGGAATTGGGGGCTTTCTGTTGAGCTAATCTTTAACTGCTAATTAAGCTGCAGGCATGTTTCTGGAATTTAGCAGAGGTAGCACAGTGGTCCAGAGTCATGTACTCCCTGTGAGGGTTGAGTCACATCTTCTCTTATGAGTATGTGAGGCAGCTGTATCTGGTTGATGGCCGGAGGACCCTGACACATGAGTTTGTAGGGTTTCTGTAATTTGTGTTGTTGTTGAATTCTAATTTTAACGCATGGTATGAGATGCATGGAGTTATTCCAACTTTTTTGGACCAGTTGAGGTTTGATATGTTGTCAAGTATGTGGTTGATTTTTTGAGAAGGTTCCATGTGGTGCTGAGAAGAAGGTATATTCTTTTGTGTTTGGATGGAATGTTCTATAGATGTCAGTCAAACCCAATTGGGTCATAACTTCTATTAGTTCCTTTGCTTCTCTGTTAAGTTTCTGTCTGGTAGTCCTGTCTATAATGATGAGAGTGGGGTGTTGAAGTCTCCCATTGTAAGTGTGTGGGGATTTATATGTGATTTGAGTTTTAGTAATGTTTTTTTAATGAATGTGGATGCCTTTGTATTTGGGGCATAGATGTTCAGAATTGAAACTTCATCTTGGTGGATTTCTCTTGTGATGAGTATGAAATGACCTCCTTCATCTCTTTTGATTTTGTTTTAAAGTCTAATTTGTTAGATATTAGGATTGCTATACCTGCTTTTTTCTTGGGTTCATTTTATTGGAAAATCTTTTCCTAACCCTTAATTCTGAGGTAGTGTCTGTCTTTGAGGCTGAGGTATATTTCTAGTATGCAGTGGAAGGATGGGTTCTGTCTTCAAATCCATTGTGTTAACCTGTGACTTTTTATGGGTGAGTTAAGACCATTAATATTGAGGCATATTAATGACCATTGCTCATTCTGGTTTGCTTTGAAATGGTTGTTGTTGGTGGAATTATATGTGAATTTCCACCCCTTTTTTCTTTTGGCTGTTGGTAAGGTGGGGTTATTTATTGCTTATGTTTTTCTGGTTGTAGTTAACTTCCTTAGGTTGGAGTTTTCCTTCCAGAACTTTCTGTAGGGCTGGGTTAGTGGATATGTATTGTTTGAATCTGGTTTTGTCATGGAATGTCTTGTTTTCTCCATGTATATTGATTGAAAGCTTTGCTGGGTATAGTAGTCTGGGCTGGCTTCCATGGTCTCTTAGTGTTGGTAGACTATCTATCCAGGACCTTCTGGCTTTCAGAAAAGTCAGGTGTAATTCTGATAGGTTTGCCTTTATATGTTACTTGACCTTTTTCCTTAGCTGCTCCTAATAGTCTTTCTTTATTCTGTATGTTTGGGGTCTTGATTATTATGTGGCATGGCCTCTAATTCAGGTTCTGCCACCAGGTTCCTGCCCTGACTTTCCTCGTAATGGAGTGTGACCTAAGCTTTTGAGTGAAATAAAATCCTTTTTCCCTCATGTTGCTTTTGGTTATAATGTTTTATTACAGCAATAGAAATTTAAGACAGTGGGTAGAGGCATTTGCCATCAAGCCCGATGACCAGAGTTAGATTCCTAAAACACACATAGTTCAAGGAGAGAATGAACTCCCACAATGAGGCGGAGTTTCTCTGTGTCCCTGAAGCTGCTTCCAAATAACCAGACTGGAGCTTAGTATTAATTACAAATGCTTGGCTGATAGCTCAGGTTTATTACTAACTATCTTTTACAACTTAAGTTAACCCATTTCTATTAATCTATGTATTGCCACGTGGCTTGTGGCTTTACTCGTCCTCCAACATATCTTGCTCCCTCTTTATCTCCTTGTGACTCCCAAGATTCTGCTATTCTCAGCATTCTCTCTGCCCTGAAAATCCTGCCTCGCTGTCAGCCAATCAGCTTTTTATTAGCAATGAGAGCAACACATTTTCATAGTGTACAGAAGGATTATTCCACAGCAGCACCCACAAATTGCCCTGTGACCTCCACATGTGTGCCATGGTTTAAACACACAGACACAGACACACAGACACACACACACACAGACACACAGACACACAGACACAGACACAGACACACACACACACACACACACACACGCGCGCGCGCGCGCAAAAGTGAGTTTTTTTAAAAAACTATTAAAGCAAGCCGGGTGTTGGTGGTTGGCAGAGGCAGGTGGATTTCTGTGAGTTTGAGGCCAGCCTGGTCTACAGAGCGAGTTGCGGACAGCCTCCAAAACAATACAGAGAAACCCTGTCTCGAAAAAACCAAAACCAAAACCAAAACAAAAAACTATTAAAGCATGTTGTTTGTAATATGTGAACGTGTATATTACTATTATTTTAAGTAAATAAATGTACTTTTCTGATTTTTCACTTTAAATTTCTTGCAGGGTAAATCCACCACATAAAGAAATGGTTCTTAAACTCTAATAATAAATTTTAAGAATAGCAGAGAAGCCTGAGCCAGAATTTGAAAAATGCTTTTAGAAGACATGGTAGTGTACTTTGTGTTTAATGATTAGGAAGGAAACATGGGTCATTCTAGAATGTTGGTAATGTTGTTAGTATAGGATACAGAAATCTTCAAGGGCTATAGATGCTTATATTTGCTGCATACCTACATGAATGGTATAATGTTTACAAATCGTCTTTTTGTACACATGAGTTGTCTTATGACAATGGAAATTGATTGTTTCCCTGGGAGTCCTGTACTGATTAGATGTCACCACTGACAGGCATTAGAACATGTTGAGAATGGAGAGGATAAATGAGGTGAGTTATAGTCTCATCAATAGCCAACTTTATTCAAATCCCAAACAGTTTATACTCGGAGGGTTAAGAAAGGTTACACAAGTAAAGTTCTCATGAGTTCAAGCTACATACAATTACAAGGACAGGCCACACATGGAAACATGTTTTTCCACAGTAGCACATAAAGGATAGTTTAAACATCTAATTGAAATAACAGCAGCAAGCAATCATGATTAATTTGAAGTAAACTCACTCCTTTGTGCTACACCTGGGAGGAGCATGAAAACACATTACAAGAATAATCCTATGTTTTAAAGAAACTGAGGTCACAAGACTTTCTTCTCGTTTTCTTGGAGTTTTCTCACAAGCACCCAGAATTCTCTGCAAACAACTCAGTTCCTGGACTATTTCCTGTTGGGGAAGTCCTGTTATTTGCCTGTGCATTTGTCAATAAAGTACTGTCTGGCCAATAGAAAACCTAGATAGGAGGGACTAGGAGTCGAGGAGGATTCTGGGAAGGGGAAACACAAGAGAGTCAACATGTAACCGCCATGGGGGTAGGAGCCCAGAACTATTCTCCAGTAAGAGACATACTTAGATTAACAATTATGGGGTAATTACTTAAAGCAGAGCTAGCCAGTAAGAGACAAGCAAGGCCAACAGCTTCATAATTAATACAGCGTCTTGTGTGTTTATTTGGAACTCATGCGGATCTAGAACCAGGCTGGCGCAGCAGAGCCCAGGCGACTGGCAGGGGATAAACCAAAGCGGCTAGCAAGGAAAAAGCTTCTCTTAACAATTTCCAACAGCTATGTCAGGTTGGTCAACAACATGGCATGGGGATGTCATCTTTACTTATTATCATCAACATAGGCGTTAGGTTCCTGTCTGGAATTATCAGTTATTGCTTGGTTTCACTCTACAGCCACTATAAACCCTTAACTTCCTATTATTTTTTCTTCTAATTTTATGTTTATGACCCTCACAGGAAGAATCCTCTCCATTTTCAACACTTGAGCCACCCTGGTGATAGTGACTATGGAGACATACAAGTCACAGATGAAGGTGACAGGCCTGAGTGTCCCTATGGGGCATCTTGTTACAGGTAAGGAAACTGAGTCATGTGGCTGCACTCTTCCCTAACTGCTTCCTAGCCAGGTGAAATTGGGTGACTTGAGCAGCTCCCCATCTTAAATCTGTACATAGTTTACATTAAATTTATGTAGGACACAGATATTCTGTCAAATAATTTTAATTGTTATCAATCTTATAACAATTTATAACCTGAAGTTTTTCTGTATTTTTGTGTAAAATATAATCAGATTAATTTATAGACATCCAATACATACTCTGTGAAGACACTAAGATGTGATTTGTAAGTCAGTTGGGGATGTTATCCCCTTTCTGTCAGCTTCCTCAATTCCTACTAATCCACTTTTTTTTAATCCTGTCAGCTTTTTTTGTCTTAAAAAATAAGATTTTCCTCACTGAAAAAGCCATACAAATGATCATGTAAGTGAGAGATGTCTGCCTCTTCCATACTGGTGATGTTTAGGTACTTTTACAGCTGCTCTGAGCGGGCTATTTTCCTGACTTCATTTCTGCGGGTTCATTTTGGTAGAAAAGCTGTTCTTTTGGGGATGATTTTATGTCCTGATACTTTGCTGAAACTTTCCACTGTCAGTCCTCTAGTGGAGGTGTAGGGTCTCTTAAAGAGAAGACACCACAAAGAGGGGAGGGTGGACTTCTTCCTGCCTGTATACATCCCTTTTCTTTCTTTGCCTTATTGTTCTGAGATGTCACATATTGTAATGAATGAGCTAGTGGAGAGTAAACAGTCTTTCTTGTTTCCTCAGTCAGCATGGTGTTATCCGTGGGTCACAGTGAACTCAATACCAAGTGGGTTCCATTTAGTCAAACATGGGTCTTGGAGCTCACACAGCATGCAGATGCTAGGGAAGCTGTCTCTTGTCACAGTGATGGGGGTGGGAGTGGAGGTATTGAAAGATTCCTGTTTGAATCTGTGGCTTTAGGAGTCACAGATCCCTGTGCTGTCCTGTCTCCAGAACCCACTAGAGGAATCAGTGCGGAACCACAGGGTGTTGACCTACAGCATTGGTTAAGCTACCAGGGAAGGAGTCTGAGTCATCACTGCCCAGGCCTCCTCACTGACTCTCACATTTGGGGGGTCTGGATTAGTCCCATGCTGGTCTCTCAGCTGTCGATCTGGGGTCCAAGAGCTCCCCCTTGTTCAGATCAGCTGTCTCTGTTGATTTTGCCAGCCCATTCTTTGCCAATTTGCTCATCGCTCCTCTTTCTCTGTCACTGGGTTCCATGGGTTCAGTTCAGTGTTTAACTGTGGGTGTTTGCCTCTGTTTCCATCAGTCACTGGATGAAGGTTCTAGGATGGCATATAGGGTAGATGTCAAGTTCATTATCAGGAATGGGCATTTAAGGTGGTCTCTCCACTATTGTTTAGCTTGCCAGTTGGTGTCATCCCTTTAGATCACTAGAGGTCTCACTGGTGCCAGATCTCTCTTCTAACCTATGACTCCCTCTATTATGGTATTTCTCATCCTGTTCTCCCCCTATTCTACCCCCCACTCAATCTTCATGTTCCCCCATGACCTACTCTCTCTTCCTCTTTTCGTCCTCTCTTCTGCTCAGCTCCCACTCCCCCCCTCCACCTCTCACCGTGTTCCCAATCTGTTCAGAATATCTTGCCTCATTCCTCTTGTCTGGGGTACCATGCATATCTCTCTTAGGTTCTTTCCTGTTTCCCAGACTATCTGTCAGTGGAAGTGCAGACTGGCACTATCCTGATCCATCTCTAAAATCCATACATGAGTGAGTACATACCGTATTTGTCTTTTTGTGACTGGGTTACCTCACTCAGGATGATTTCTTCTAGTGCCACCCATTTACCTGCGAATTTCAAGATTCCATTGTTTTTTTCTTCTGAGTAATACTCCATTGTATAAATGTACCACATTTTCTCTATCCACTCTTCAGTTGAGGGGCATCTAGATTGCTTCTAGGTTCTGGCTATTACAAATAATGCTGGTATGAACATGCTGGAACAGATGTCCTTGTTGTATGAATTTGCATTTTTTGGATATATGCCTAAGAGTTGAATTGCTGGGTCTTGTGGTAGACTGATTCCCATTTTCCAGAGGAATCTTCATACCGATTTCCAAAGTGGGTGTATGAGTTGGCACTCCCACCAGCAGTGGAGGAGTGTTCCCCTTTCTCCACATCCTCTCCAGCATAAATTGCCTTCGGTGTTTTTGATTTTAGCCATTCTGACAGGAATAAGATGGTATCTCAGAGTTGTTTTGATTTGCATTTCCCTGATGGCTAAGGATGCTGATCACTTTCTCAAGTGTCTCTCAGCCATTTTAGACTTCCCTATTGAGAATTCTCTATTTAGTTCTGCAGTGCACTTTTTAATTGGATCCTTTGGTGTTTTGGAGACTTGCTTCTTGAGTTCTTTGTAAATTTTGGAGATCAGCCCTCTGTCAGATGTGGGGTTAGTGAATATCTTTTCCCATTCTGTGGACTGCTTTTTTGTCTTGTTGACTGTGTCCTTTGCCTTACAGAAGCTTCTTAGTTTCAGGAGGTTCCATTTGTTAATTGTCGATCTCAGTGTCTGTGCTACTGGTATTATGTTCAGGAAGTGGTCTCCTGTACCAACTCGTGGAAGAGTATCTCCCACTTTCTTTTCTAAGAGTTTCAGTGTGGCTGGATTTATGTTGAGGTCTTTCATCCATTTGGACTTAAGTTTTGTGCAAGGCGATAGACATGGATCTATCTGTAGCCTTCTGCATGCCAATATCCAGTTATGCCAGCACCATTTGTTAAAGATGCTTTCTTTTTTTCCATTGTATAATTTTAGCTTCTTTGTCAAAAATCAAGTGTTCATATGTATGTGGGTTAATCAGGGTTATCAATTCGGTTCCATTGGTCTACCTGTCTATTTTTGTGCCAATACCAAGCTGTTTCGAGGACTATAGCTCTATAATAGAGCTTGAAGTCATGTATGGTGATGCCTCCTGAAGTTCCTTTATTGTATAGGGTTGTTTTGGCTATCCTGGGTCTTTTGTTTTTCCATGTAAAGTTGATTATAGTTCTTTCAAGGTCTGTGAAGAATTGTGCTAGAATTTTGATAGGGATTGCATTGAATCTGTAGACTGCTTTTGGCAAGATTGCCGTTTTTATTATGTTGATCCTATCAATACAAGAGTATGGGAGATCTTTCCATTTTCTGGTATCCTCTCTGATTTCTTTCTTTAGTGACTCAAAGTTCTTGATATACAGGCCTTTCACTTCTTTGGTTAGCATTATTCCCAGATATTTGATGCTGTTTATGGCTATTGTAAAGAGTGATGTTTCTCTGTTTTTTTTTTCTCAGCCACTTTATCATCTGTATATAATAGGGCCACTGATTTTTTTGAGTTTACCTTGTATCCTGCCACTTTGCTGAAGGTGTTTGTCAGCTCCAGGAGTTCCCTTGCAGAGTTTTTAGGGTCACTTATGTAAACTATCATATCATCTGCAAATAGTGAAAGCTTGAATTCTTCTTTTCCTATTTGTATGCCCTTGATCTCCTTTTGTTGTCGTATTGCTCCAGCTAGAACTTCAAGTACAATATTGAAGAGATATGGAGAGAGTGGACAGCCTTGTTTTGTTCCTGATTTTAGAGGAATTGTGTTGAGTTTCTTTCCATTTACTTTGATGTTAGCTGTTGGTTTACTGTATATTGCTTTTATTATATTCAGGTATGTTCCTGTTATCCCTGATCTCTCTAGGACCTTTATCATGAAGGGGTGCTGGATTTTGTCAAAGGCTTTTTAAACATCTAGTGAGATGATCAGTTGTTTTTCTTTTGCAGTTTGTTTATATGGTGGATTACGTTGATAGATTTTCTAATGTTGAACCATTCCTGCATTCCTGGGATGAATCCTACTTGATCATGGTGGATGATTTTCCTGATGTGTTCTTGAATCCCCTTGGGTCCCAAGGTAATTGTAGCTTTGTAAAAAGAGTTTGGCAGTGAGCCTCCTGCTTCTATTGTGTGGAATACTTTGAGGAGTATTGGAATTAGGTCTTCTTTGAATTTCTGGTAGAATTCTGCACTGGAGCCATCTGGGCCTGGGCTTTTTTTGTTTTGGAGACTTTTGATGACTGCTTCTATTTCATTAAGGGTTATAGGTTTGTTTAGATTGTTTATCTGTTCTTGATTTAGTTTTGGCAAGTGATATCTATCCAGGAAATTGTCCATTTCCTTTAAATTTTCGAATTTTGTGGAGTACAGATTTTCAAAGTATGCCCTGATGATTCTCTGGATTTCCTCAGTGTTCGTTGTTACGTCCACCTTTTCATTTCTGATTTTGTTAATTTGCATGCTCTTTCTCTGTGTTTTGGTTAGTTTGGATAAAGGTTTGTCTATTTTGTTGATTTTCTCTAGAACCAACTCTTTGTTTCATGGATTCTTGCAATGTTTTCCTGGTTTCTACTTGATTGATTTCAGCCCTCAATTTGGTTATTTCCTGGAGTCTGCTCCTCCTGCGTGAGTTAGCTTCCTTTTGTTCTAGAGCATTCAGCTGTGCTATTAATTTTCTAGTGTGACTGTGTTCCAGTTTCTTCATGTGGGCATTTAGTGCTATGAACTTTCCTATCAGCACTAATTTCAGAGTGTCCCATAAGTTTGGGTATGTTGTGTCTTCATTCTCATTGAATTCCAGGAAGTCTTTAATTTCCCTTTTTTTATTTCTTTCTTTACCCAAGGATGGTGCAATTGTGCATTGTTCAGTTTCCACGAGTTTGTAGGGTTTCTGTGATTTGTGTTATTGTTGAATTCTAATTTTAATGCATGGTGGTCTGATAAGATACAGGGGTTATTCCATTTTTTTTGTATCTGTGGAGGTTTGCTATGTTTCCTATTATGTGGTCAATTATAGAGAAGTTTCCATGTGGCGCCGACAAGAAGGTATATCCCTTTGTGTTTGGGTGGAATGTTCTATAGATGTCTGTTAAACCTATTTGAGTCATAACTACTATTAGTTCTTTTGTTTCTTTGTTAAGTTTCTGTCTGGAGGTCCTATCTAGTGGTGAGAGCGGAGTGTTGAAGTCTCCTACTACTCTATGTGATATTTTTATGTGTGATTTGAGCTTTAGTAATGTTTCTTTCCCGAATGTGGGTGCCTTTGTATTTGGGGCATAGATATTCAAAATTGAGACTTCATCTTGATGGACTTTTCCTTTGATGAATATGAAATGTCCTTCTTCATATCTTTTGATTGATTTTAATTTGAAGTCTAGTTTGGTATATATTAGGATTGTTACACCCGCTTGTTTCTTGGGTCCGTTTGATTGGAAAATCTTTTCCCAACCCTTTACTCTGAGATAATGTCTGACTGTGATGTGAGATGTGTTTCTTGTATGCAGCAGAAGGATGGGTTCTGTTTTCGTATCCATTCTGCTAGTATGTGTCTTTTTATAGGCAAGTTGAGACCATTGACATTGAGGGATATCAATAACCATAGATTGATGATTCTTGTTTGTGCTTGATTTATTGGTAGTGGAGTTACTGTGTGTAGGTTCTCCTCCCTTTTTCTTTTGGTTTTGGTAAAGTGGGATTATATATTGCTTATGTCTTTGTGAGTGTAGGTATCTTCATTGGGTCTAGGTTTTCTTTCCAGCACTTTCTGTGGCGCTGGTTTCATGGATACGTATTTTTTAAATCTGGCTTTGTCATGGAATATTTTGTTTTCTCCATCTATGGTAATTGAAAGCTTTGCTGGATATAGTAGTCTGTGCTGGCATCCTTGTTCCCTTAGCATTTGTAGGACCTCTCTCCAGGATCTTCTGGCTTTCATAGTTTCCATTGAGAAGTCAGGTGCAATTCGGATAGGTCTGCCTTTATATGTTACTTGGCCTTTTTCTTTAGCTGCTCTTAATATTTTCTCTTTATTCTGTAGGTTTGATGTTTTGATTATTATGTGGTGAGGTGATTTCTTTTTCTGATCCAGCCTGTTTGGTGTTCTGTAAGATTCTTGTATTTTCATGGGCATATCCTTCTTTTGGTTAGGAAGGTTTTCTTCTATGATTTTGTTGAATATGTTTTCTGTACCTTTGAATGTATTTCTTCGCCTTCTTTTATACCTATTATTCTCAGGTTTGGCTTCTTCACAGTGTCCCATATTTCCTGGATATTTTGTGTTAGGGATTTGTTGGTTTTGAGATTTTCTGTGGTTGTCGACTCTATATCCTCTAAAGAGTCTTCAACACCTGAGATTCTCTCCTATATCTCTTGCATTCTGTAGTTCCTGATGGTTTACTCAGCTTTTCTGTGTCGAACATTCCCTCATTCTGTGTTTTCTTTATTGTTTCTATTTCATCTTTCAATACTTCAACTGTTTGAGTTGTTTCCTTCATTTGTTTGGTTGTTTTTTCTTGGTACTATTTAGGTTCTTTGAGGGATTTGTTTATTTCTTGAATTATTTTGGTTCGCCTTTTCCTTCATTTCATGTATTTTTTGTTTGTTTTTTCTTCTATTTCTTTAAGGGATTTCCTTGTTTCCTCTTTGAGGGTCTCTATCATCTTCATAAAATAATTTTTAAGGCCTGTCTTTTCTGCTTCATCTATGTAGTGCTTTTCAGGTCTTGCTGGTGTTGGGTCTCTAGATTATGTTGGAGTCATGTTGGTCTCACTATTGCTGAGTGAGCTCTTATTCTGTCTTCTTCCCATCTCTTCTTCCAGTGGGTGCAGGTGGGGTCTTTCTGTCTCCACTGGTCTCCTTTCCTGAAGTTGAAGTTGGGGAAGCCGGAGGGTGGGGTCTGGAAGTACTGATGCTTTTTCTGTATGGGCGGGTCCTCTGGATGCCAGGAGCAGCCCCTGGAAGACCGAGGGTCCTGGGCGGGGTGATCCCAGGGGGACCCAAGCTCACCTGAAGCTGGGGATGCCAGAGGTTGGGGTCTGGAAGGACTGATGCCTTTCCTGTGTGGGTTGGTTCTCTGGATGCCAGCAGCAGGCCCCCAGAAGATTGAGGGGATAGGTGATGGGCAGGGGATGGGGGTGGCCCCAGGGGGACCCAAGCTCACCTGTAGCTGAGGACACTAGAGGTTTGGGTCTGGAAGGAATGATGCCTTTCCTCATTACTTGAAATTTCTAAACCAGATTTTGAAAGACACTCTAGTAATAAACAGCTGAGACCATATTTAACTTTTCAATGATCTTACTCAACTATTAACAAGGGGAAAAAAAAAGACTGCTTGGTGCCTGAAACAAACATGTTCACAGGAAAAAGAAAAAAAAAAAACAACGCTTCAGTTTCAGGTGACTCTAGATAATAATAAAACGATAAGTGGTCCATGAAGAAAATGGTACTTACCAGCTGGATTGTAGTTCAGTGGTTAGAGTACTTGTCTGGTATGCCCAAATCCCTGGTTTGATCCCCAGCACGTCTAAAGAAAAAGGGAGGGCGGGAGGGGAAGGAACATTTGTTAGTGACCTATTCTTTCATTTTCGTAGGTTTGAAAATTTTTAAATAAAAACTACCGAAATTCTCAGCTGTGTAGTAGTCTTTTTCCTGGATGAAGGAGGAAGCTCTCTGGTGTCATTGCCTGTTTCCGTTCCTCCTTCCCCGATGCTTGGCACCGACTGGCCTTTCAACAAGAACTGAGTTTACAAGCCAGTCACTTGCACTAGCATGTTCATCAGGGAAGGCTTGCTGAAGCTTTTCTGGGGACAACTCCCTGGGACATATGTCAGTTTTCTCATTCATTTTTTCTCAAGCTTAAAGTTTCCATCCAGCAGAAGGTGAGATTTAGGTTAATTATCCCAACTACAAGGTCTTCTATAGATTTTTTTCCAGCCCTCAAACCTGCTGAGTTATGACCCTAATTAGCTGCATAGTACCTCTTGCACTGTTTAATGCTAACCCGCAGGAAAAGTTGTGAAAAAAGAGCTACTGGCGTTAAGGAATACCACAGACACCTGGCACAGGCTGGCCTGCAGAAGTAGTCTGACTGGTCCTGGAATGGATACTGACAGTGCCTCTCCATCTACCACGCTGCAGCCTCATCTGCATGTGGGCTCTGTTGTTGGCTCCTCTTCAGACAGGGAAACTGAAGCTTAGCTCTCGAGAGGGTGTTTGGACTAGGATTCTGATCAGGTGTTCCTCATGTTAATCCCAACTCTCCTTTCAATAGTGACATTCCCATCTATAGAGTTTTTATTTTTCTTAAGAATCCGTAGAGGATGTCTTATGGTGGGAGTTTCTAAAATCAATTTTTTATTGGCCTTGAGTGGGCAGGGAGCTCTACTGTGTTGTTTGTTTTTATGTGTTGTTAAGTATGCTAGTCAAATTAGCTATAATTTAACTAAGATACCTAAAATCAAACGAAAATCATTGCAACTTACATGACATCTTTTCTAAATGTCATTACTTAATTTAAATTTGTGTTTTTATACTGACTTCCAATTGCCTGGAATAAGGAAAATGCTTGGAGCAAATATAAATGCTAAAAACCAGGAAGCAACTGTTTATAAATCAGATGGTTCCATATAACCAGAAATTATTTGTTTTATTTAGTAGTTTCAGAGGTACAGAAGAGAAAAACATAGTACTTTAAAGGTGTAATTTTATTAGGAAACATTTTAACAAAGTTACAAGTTTTAGCTGATAGAAAGGAACATTTTTATACAGTGCCACGATTTGTAAGTGGAAGACTGAATCATCTGGTTATTATGAAGCTCTTAAATCTTGTTCATTTATTTGTCTGCCCTCTCTCTATATTGTGGTTTCTTGAGTTTCAAAGCACTATCCCTGGCATGGGATGCACACTCACTAAATACTGTAACAAAAGGCAAATACTGCCGGGCAGAGTAGTGCGTGCTTGATATAGAAGCTGATGGCAATGATGGTGGTGATGGAGGAAGAGAAGGACTGGAAAGAGGAAAGGAGGGCGTAGGGAATAGGGGACAAGTACTTTCATAACTGTATTAGTGGGAGACAGAGCATACCACTTTTCTGTCTTTGGAGAACTTTATCCTATTTTTACCTCCTTTTCTTTTTCAGGAAGAACCCCCAGCACAAGATGGAATACAGACACAGTGCACTTCCAGGTAAGTAACTGTACTTGAGTAAACACAAATGCGAATTCTCCCATTAAGCTAGTTATTTAGAAAATGTTGTTGCTTTGTGAATTATTGTTGCTGATTTGAATGATTGTCTTAGGTTATTTTTAATGAGATTTAAGTTGATTTTTTAAAAATGAAGTTTCAGAAACTGAGTATGATAGCTCATACCTGGAATCTTAACATTTGGAAGGCTGAGGCAGGAGGATTGCCTCAAGTCTGCGGTCAGCCTGGGCAGTACAACAATTCTCTGTCCCAAATAAATGAAAGAATTATAAGCTTGTATGTAGTAAATGCTTTTCCCCAACATAGCCCAGCAGTCTGTGGTTTTCCCATGTCTGCCTGAGCAATGATGGAAGCACACTGACCTCTGTCCCAGAGCAGCCTGAGGGCAGGGGCTGGTTAGGGCAGCGCTTATTGTGTTATTTCATTATTACTGTCAGTAATGTCCTGTTTCCTTTCATCATTCTGTCTCATAGGGCTATTCCTTCTCAAGGTCTTTCCTCTCAACGAGGAATTTCTACACCCTTATTAAGCTGGGACAGTAGAATCAGTGCTGACATCTGAAGAAAGAATGAACAACTTTTGATTCACGATTCTTATATGAAGTGGTGGATTTCCCTCCTTCAGCTATCCCAGACCAAGTTCTTCCCTTTGAACTAATCACTGTAGCTGGTGATTACTATGTGAACCTTCTCCAGTACCACCAGGACTGTTAGAGTGTAAACCTTTAGCTGTCCAGTTGATCTTTGTGTTACCTGTTTTTGAGCTCTTTAAGAATTTTCCTGGGGGGGGAAGAGTTTTCTTTTCAATAAACCTCAGCTTCTTTGGGTCCTGTATATAATGCAGAGACCAAGTCAGCAAATACTATTTCTGCCCCTGCGGAGGAAGAATAAAGCCTATGCTGTCAGGACTGTGCTCTCTAGTACTGTGTCTGCATATGTAAGCTGGCTGTGACAAGGCGATGAAGATAACTCACAATGAGAGAATCCACCAAGAGTCTTTTCATTATTGACCACTGCAGTGCATTAACACTGAGACAAGAGTGTACCCCTTTGTCTTGGCCGGCAGGGTCTAGAGGCTGTTATATATGCAGAATCTCTTTACTGGGTTGGATTTAATGATTTCCCAGCAATAATGTAATATAGTAAAATATGCCAATATATTGTCACATATAAAGGCATTTGTGTATCTTTATATAAGTAAGAGCTATTTACCTAAAGGGTAGCAGTATGCATCATATAGCATAGGTTAAAATGTCTGAATAGTCTTTGCAAAGTTTGTTGGAATTTTGTTGAAGTGTTTTCTAAATGAAGAATATACTTCAGACCTGTGAACTTAAAATTATTTTTGAGATTATAATGTAATTACAATATTCAACAGTAAATGTTTAAATAATTTTTTTTACTGGACAGCCACTTTTTCTTATTAGCAGCACAAAAGCACATACATATAGACCACTGTTTAACTAGGTAGCCTTAATCACTTCCTGCTATTTCAATTACTTGCAGTTAGTATTTGTCTGAAGTAAATAGAAAAATCATATAATAAGCCATAAGTCAGGTGTTGATGGCACATGCCTTTAATCCCAGCACTTGGGAGGCAGAGGTAGGCAGATCTCTGTGAGTTTGATGCCAGCCTGATCTACAGACCAAGTTACAGAGAAACCCCGTCTCAAAACAAATAAAAAAGAAAAGTCATAAAATACATAACTATAAGCTTTTAACTACTGTTGTTTTATTTATTCCATTTCATTATTTTTGCTATTCATCTCTTATTGTGCCTGATTACAAATCAGGCTTTATCCTTGATGTGTGTGTGTTAACTTACTTCTAGCTCCCAGTGGAGATTTTAGAACAGCTGTAAGTAGGGAGCAGCTCTGTGAACTCTTGGGAATCTCCATGTGCAGATGTAATTAGCACATCTTTGCCTCCTCTAAAACTTGTGGGTCTGAAAACTTTACATGGTAAATTAAATGTTGGGGTCTCATATTTCCTAATTCAGAGATATCTAAGACAGAATTCTGACAGTTGTTTTCTTATCTCCCAAAGTTTAATGCTTATCATTGCCCAGATCCTAATCTCATACATGTGTCATGTGTCTTTTGTGTGAAAAAGATCACAGGGATATGAGAAGTACCCCAAAACTAGCGATCTTGAAAGAATCAGTAGGACTTGCCAACTAATGTGCCCTGGAATGGAGGCCAGTGAGAGAAAGGAAACAGTGATGGCCTTGCATTGAAGTGCAGGTTATCAGGGCAGTGGCGATGGCCCTCCACATAGTAGAAGCAAGGAGGAAGAACTAGGTTCTTTTTTCTTTTTAAAAAGTTAAACACTTTTCATTTGAGGTGGACATCCATGACTACGTAAGATTGTTGTGCCCAAGTTGCAAAGTCCCCAGAGACCACCAGGGAGACAGACCCACTAAACTGCAAAAGCAAGATTTTGATTGTTCATCCACCCATGACAGGGACCCTGCCTGACTAGCTGTCGCAGCAGCCTCCAGAGGGAGTGAAATTCCCTGTCTACTGCTAGGTTTTATGGACAAAAGATACAGGATTACATCAGTAGGTACGGGTTGGTTTCTGATTGGTTGACATTTGGGAACAATTAGGAGAATTTCTCTTTTTTTTTATCATTTTTTATTTTAATTTTAAATAGCTTGTTTTACATGTCAATCCCAGTTCCCTCTCCCTCCCCTCCTCCCACACTCCCCTTCCCCCCCTCCCTCCCACCCTATTGCCAAATCCTTCCACATAGGGGATATCTAGAGTCTGTCATTTTACTCTTGGTAGGGTCAAGGCACTCCCCTAAGAGTCCAGGCTGAGAGAGCATCTCTCTTTGTGCTATAGGCACATGAAGACAGTTTGTATACCAGGGATAGACACTGATCCACAGCTCAGGGCCCCATAGGTTGCCCAGGCCTTCTCATTGACACTCACATTTGGGGGGGTCCAGATCAGTCCCATGATGGCCTCTCCACTGTCGGTCTGGGGTCCAAGAGCACTCCCCTGTTCAGATCAGCTGTCTCTGCTGGTTTTGCCAGCCCATTCTTTGCCAATTTGCTCATCACTCCTCTCTCTCTGTCACTGGGTTCCTTAGGTTCAGTTCAGTGCTTAGTTGTGTGTTTGCCTCTGCTTCCATCAGTCACAGGATGAAGGCTCCCGGATGGTTATAGACATCAAGTTCATTATCAGGAATGGGCATTCGAGGTGGTCCCTCCACTATTGCTTAGCTTGCTAATTGATGTTATACCTTTAGATCACTCGAGGTCACTCTGGTGCCTGATCTGTCTTTGATCCTATGATTCCCTCTTCCCCCTATTCTACCCCCACCCCCTCAACTTCCTGTTCCCCCATGACCAACTCCCTTCCTCTTTACCCCCTCTATTCTTCCCAGGTCCCACTCCCCCCCACCCCTCGCCGTGTTCCCCATCCATTCAGAGGATCTTGTCTCCATCCTCTTCTCTTGGGTACTATGCATATATGCATATCTTTTAGGTTCTTTCCTGTTTCCCAGACTCTCTATCTGTGGAAGTGCAGACTGGCACTATCCTGATCCATATCTAGAATCCATATATGAGTGAGTACATACCATGTTTGTCTTTTTGCGACTGGGTTACCTCACTCAGGATGGTTTCTTCCAGTGCTATCCATTTCCCTGCGAATTTCAAGATTCCATTGTTTTTTTCTGCTGAGTAATACTCCATTGTGTAAATGTACCACATTTTCTCTATCCACTCTTCAGTTGAGGGGCATCTAGGTTGCTTCCAGGTTCTGGCTATTACAAACAATGCTGCTATGAACATAGTGGAGCAGATGCCCTTGTTGTATGAACCTGCCTCATTTGGATAAATGCCTAAGAGTGGAATTGCTGGGTCTAGTGGTAGATTAATTCCCATTTTCCTGAGGAATCTCCATACTGATTTCCAAAGAGGCTGTATGAGTCGCTCAAAGTCATATTTTGGCATGAAATACCTATGTACCAATTATTTTCATTGGTCAGTGCTGAGAGGAAACATTCTGTGGTTTCTATGGCATTGTCTTGTTACTTGCAGATGTCCTGTTGTATGCAGGTACCAATAGTTTTCAGAACTATATTCTGGAGACTACAGGGGAGGTTTTGGTCCCCCCTGGAGTTTGGCCAAACAGTTCCCAGGAACCAAGCATCTAGGAGGCTGGGTGGGTAGAGTTTGTGTTCAGTTATGGCCCTAGGCTCCAGGAGGCCAGAGGACCTGGAGATTCCTTGTGTCAGAGGCCATGTGTCTTTTCTGTAGCCTGTCATGGCTGCTAAAGCAGGGGGCTGAGTAAAGGTCTGGTCCCTTTATTTCTAAACTATGAGAAGTGAAGCCTTTGAGTTTCAGATAATGCAGTATAGCATAGTATCAGCATTAAAGCAACCACTCTAGAGGCTGGGTATTTCGCTTCTCATCTGTAGCCCTCCTGAAACGCTGGGTCCATGGAGGTTTTCCACATGTTGCAGCTGAGGTCTGCACTGCTTGTGTATTGTGTTGCCACCTGCCACGCTTCTTCTGTGCCTGCCTAACATGAGCCCTTACTGCTTTCCACACATTTTCAGAGTGCTAGAGCTTTGGACAGGATAGTGAATGCAAGAGAAATCAGTGCAAGGAAAATGCTGTCATACTTCCTGATGACATTTAAAAGCAGTTGTCACCAGCATTCACATCTGACTTTGGGGTTGTTCTTTAAAGTTGCTTAGAATGTCGTATGAATCTGTCTAGGCAACTGATGCTGTTACAATACAGAGTGATTACTGAGAACTGCTTCAAAGCTTTTAACCTTCTGTAGTGGTGTACACACACTCATAGGCCCCTTCCTTTCCTCAAGAAACGGAACCCCAAAGACCTACAAAGAAAGCGACTAAGGAAGAGTAACAAGACTTACCTGAGATTCAAGCTGCTACTTAGATGGGAAGAGTCAAGTGGATACAGGGGTACGGGCTGTCAGAGAGCCTGATGCAGCAGATGTTTATAAGCTGCTTTTCCAAATGTGAAAACCTACTACCGTGTTAGTACGTTAAAAAACTAAAAACAAACAAACAAACAAAAAACTAAGCTGCACAGTGGTGGTGCATGCCTTTAATCCCAGAACTTGGGAGTCAGAGACAGGAGAGTAATCCTATCAGGAAGGGGCAGGACATAGCATAGCTGGCTGGGTTGAAGGTCTGGCAGCATGGTGTTATTAGGGACCCTCACTTCGATTCTCATGGGCCAGGGTAGTCACAGGGACTTCACTGTGGAGAGTTAGACTAATAAACAAATGATCACTTTAGTGCCCGTTGTTGTGTGGAATAGTATTTTAACTGGGAAAAGATTTGTTACATTTGTTTATGCTGTGGAATATTACTTAACTATTTAAAGGTGTGCTACATTTGTTTCTGCTGCATTTGTTTAAATATGTAAAGATGTGCTGCTGTTTTACCTTGTCTGCCTAAGGTACCTGATTGGTCTAATAAAAAGCAGAACATCCAATAAATAGGCCGAGAAAGGGTAGGTAAGACTGGAGGGCGGAGAGAATAAGTAGGAGGAGAAATGTAGGTTTGTGTTTGTGTGTGTGTGAGAGGGAGGGAGGGGGGCAGTCAGAGAGAGAACAGAGAAAGAAGAATGAGAGAGATGAGAACAGGGAGAAAGAGAGGGACACACCCAGGGTCAGCAGCCAGGCAGCTGCCAGACAGACAGACATAGAGGCAGAAGGAAAGTAAGATATAAAGAAAGAAAGGTAAAGAGCCCCGAGGCAAAACAGATAAAGAACAGATTCAAATAGGAGCTAAGATAAGGCCGAGCATTCATAACTAATAAGAAGTCTCTGTGTCACCATGTGGGAGCTGGTTGGTGGCCCAAAAGAGAAAGGCTGCTACAGCCTGTTCTAACACTCAAAGGAGTGAGTTAAATAGTAATTAAATCTTGCTGCAGGGAGGCGCTTTCCAACAGACATCCCTAACTGCAATTGTAGTGGTTGATGTGTTGTTTGCAATATGCTGTTTTTCAGTCAGAGCTGCTGTAGATGACCATAGTGATGATGCTGGGCACCCCAGTGAGAACGACTTGAATGACAGCTTCCCGGAAGACGATGAGGAGGAAGAAGGATACGAGCCGACAGATGAGGACTCTGACTGGCATCCGGGAAAGGACGATGAGGAGAAGGAAGATGTGGAAGAACTGTTGAAAGAAGCAGAAAGATTTATGAAGAGGAAGAAGTGACTTTCCTGCAATAATAAAGCTCACATTTACCTTTTCTCTATGGGAAACACCCAGACACTGAGTAGGCACTTCAGTAACCATTTAACACCAGCCTTCAGTGAAGTAGGTGGAAGTTATGCTTTGCCTATTTTGGTGCCTGTTTAGTTCATCTGTTAGTGGAAGCAGGTAAAGAGGTTAGGCAGGGATTCATATTTTTTCATATACTTTAAACTCTGCTAATAAAAACCATAGGTAGTACACACCGTTGATTTTTGTAGTATCCTGTGTGAGCTTAGCCAGGTGATTACAGAACGTGGAGCCCTACACTGCTGTTTAAATAGTCCCTCACACAGCTAGACTTGACCAGTGTGACAGCCAGTGCAGTGTCTGTTATTTTTCCAATGCATTAGATGTGGCTTTGTGATTTCATTTACTGCTTTTGTCTGTTGAATCCTGGGAAAGTTATTAACAGATGCTGAAAATGATCCTGTTAAGCTATAGGGAAGTGGTGCTCACCTTCCAAGGAAATGTGTTTACACATCCCACAACTATGGTTGTTTTCCCATCATCCCCCTCCTTGATTACTTTGCTTGCACTGTGTAGCTTTACATGTAGGATGCCCAAAAGCTTCCAGTCATGGTTTTCTCAGAGAGTCTCCTAAGCTTGGGTGAGAGGGAAATGTTCTCTGCCATGGTTAGGGTTCTGGCCTCTGAAGAAGCCCCTGCTCCAAGTTAATGAGGTACAGTATCTCCTCACTGCTGTCCTTGAACCAGACTCTCAGTAACTCTTTGCTTTAGGCAGCTTAGAGTTTCTAGGAGCTCAGTTTGCACTGTGAGTAGAGTCTGTGTATACAGAGCTGGGGGTGCATCAAGTCATGAAGCAGCAAGAAAGTGCCTTGTCATCATTTAAGAAGAAAAAATGCACACTTTAGAAGAACAAAAGGTGCCCAACATGTTTTCTTAGTTTCTCCATGTAAGTGTACAATTTAAATGTTACTTAAACCGAAGACAAACAAAATAAATATTTATACTACTATCAGTTACTTGGACTTATTTGCAAACTCATTTTTCCCTTCTGTGTTAGGTTCTCTAGAAGAACAGAACCGATAGGAATATGCTACAGGGGGATTTATTAGATGGACTTGGTGAGGGCTGGGTAGTCCTTATGACTGTCTTCACCCTGGAGAGGCAGAGGACCAGGAGCTGCCCAGAACATGAGGCTGGGTGAAGTCCTCAGAGTCCCAATCTGGTGCTGGTGGCCTAGGGGACTCCAGAGAGCTGCTGATCCTTGTCGAACCTTTGAAGGCCAAAAAAGTCAGATTCCAGTGTTGGCAAAGGATAGCTGCAGCAGAGGCAGGAGTAGGCTTGAGATCTCACCAACAGGGAATGAAGGTGGTGGCAGAAGCAGAATCACTTTCCCCACAGCTTTAAATCTGTACCTTTTGGTGGCAGCCCCTGGGGGGAGTGTCTCTGCCCCTCCCCCAGATAACCCTGGAAATACCTTTACAGACCTGCCCAGTGACACATCCCAGACCCAACCAAGTTGACAAACCAAGATTGATACTCACACCTTCTATTGTCTCTTTATACTTGAGGTCCTGTGATACAGTGGTGTCGCCCCCCCCCCAGTACTGGGATTATAGATGTACCATTACACCTGATTTATGCAGTGCTGGAGTGCTGGGAACTGAATCCTGGGTCCTACAAAAATACTCTACCTGCTGAGCCACATCCCCAGCTCAAAAGCAGTATTTAAAAACTCGGTTTACTCTCTTGGATCCCCTGACCTGGGGAGTGCAGCAGGTCTGACTAACCCCAGAGAGATGACCGAGTGACCAGGCGCCTGCAGAGAGAGCTGGTCCACTTCTGCCCACACTCAGGGCAGATGGCAAAGGTGAGCTCTGGGTCCCCATCTTAGACCCAAATTCCTCCCTCCCGCCCTCGCTCGGATCCCCTGAACTGGGGAGTGCAGCCAGGTCACCTCGGCCCAGAGAGATGACCAAGCAACCAGGAACCTGCAGAGAGAGCTGGTCTACTCCTGCTGGCACTCAGGACAGAGGACAGAGAGCAGAGAGCAGAGGCCAGAGAGTATTGGATTTGCTTGCACCCACTGAAAGGGAACTCTGGTCTCCTACCCACCAGAAGAGGAAGAGGCTCTTTCTCCACCCACTGGAAGAAGCGATGGGAAAGAAACAATATAAGAACACACCCAGCAACTGAAAAACAAATATGACACCACCAGAGTCTAGAGATTCTGCACCAGTAAGACCTGAACACCCCAATGCAGATGAAGCAGAAGGGAATGACCTTAAAAAAATCTTCATGAAAATGATAGAGGTCCTCAAAGAGGATATAAAAAAATCCCTTAAAGAAATTGAGGGAAAAACAACCCAAAAAATACAACAAATGCAAGAAACGGAGGAAAACATGAAGCAAAAATTACAAAAAACAATTCAAACAGTGTAAAGGTTGAAAGCTGACATGGAGACAATAAAAAACCACCGTCTGGAGGAATGCTGGAAATAGAAAAGCTGAGCAAACGGTCAGGTACTAAAGATGCAAACATAAGCAACAGAATACTAGAGATGGAAGAGAGAATCTCAGGTGTCGAAGACACACTAGGAGAAATAGATTCGTACACCAAAGAAAACCTTAAGTCCAACACATTCCTGACACAAAACATCCAGGAAATATGGGACACCGTGAAAAGACCAAATGTACAAATAATAGGTCTAGAAGAAGGTGAAGAAACCCAATTCAAAGGGGGCAGAAAACATTTTCAACAAAATCATAGAAGAAAACATTCCCAACCTAAAGAAAGACTCGCCAATGAAGGTACAAGAAGCTTACAGAACAACAAATAGAGTGGACCACAAAAAAGTCCCCTCACCACATAATAATCAAGACCCCAAACATACAGAATAAGGAAGGAATATTAAGAGCAGCTAAGAAAAAAGGTCAAGTAACATATAAAGGCAAACCTATCAGAATTACACCTGACTTCTCCATGGAAACTCTGAAAGCCAGAAGTCCTGGATAGATATTCATTCACCACTAAGAGACCACAGATGCAAGCCCAGACTACTATACCCAGCAAAGCTTTCAATCAATATACATGGAGAAAACAAAATATTCCCTGACAAAACCCAATTTAAACAAAACATAACTTACTAACCTAGCCCTACAGAAAGTTCTAGAAGGAAAACTCCAATCCAAGGAAGTTAGCTACAACCAGACAAACATAGGCAATAGATAATCCCACTTTACCAACAGCCAAAAAAGAAAAGGGGTGGAAATCCACACACAATTCCACCACCATTAACCATTCCAAAACAAACAAGAATGAGCAATCAAAGGTCATTAATATCCCTCAATATTAATGGTCTTAACTTGCCCATAAAAAGGCATAGGCTAACAGAATGGATTCGAAGACAGAATCCATCCTTCTGCTGCATACAAGAAACACACCTCAGCTTCAAAGACAGATGTTACTTCAGAGTTATGGGTTGGGAAAAGATTTTCCAATCAAATGGACCCAAGAAACAAGCAGGGGTACCAATCCTAATATCTAACAAACTATACTTTAAACTGAAATCAATCAAAAGAGATGAAGAAGGTAATTTCATATTCATCATAGGAGAAATCCACCAAGATGAAGTCTCGATTCTGAACATCTATGCCCCTAACACAAAGGCATCCACATTGGTAAAAGAAACATTACTAAAACTCAAACCACACATAAAACCTCACATACTTTATAGTGGGAGACTTCAACACCCCACTCTCACCACTGGACAGGACTACCAGACAGAAACTTAACAGAGAAGCAAAGAAACTAATAGAAGTTATGACCCAATTGGGTTTGACATCTATAGAACATTCCATCCAAACACAAAAGAATATACCTTCTTCTCAGCCCCACATGGAACCTTCTCAAAAAATTGACCACATACTTGTCAACATAGCAAACCTCAACAGGTACAAAAAAAACTAGAATGACTCCATGTATCTTATCAGACCACCATACGTTAAAATTAGAATTTAACAACAACACAAATTACAGAAACCCTACAAACTCATGGAAATTGAATAATGCACAATTGTGCCACTCCTGGGTCATAGAAGAAATAAAAAAAGAAAGACTTTCTAGATTTCAATGAGAATGAAGACACAACATACCCAAAATTATGGGGCACTCTGAAAGCAGTGCTGAGAGGAAAGTTCATAGCACTAAGTGTCCACATGAAGAAACTGGAAAATAGTCACACGAGAGAATTAACAACAAAACTGAAAGCTCTAGAACAAAAAGAAGTAAACTCACCCAGGAGGAGTAGATGCCAAGAAATAATTAAATTGAGGGCTGAACACAATAAAGTAGAAACTAGGAAAATGATACAAAGAATCAATGTAACAAACAGTTGGTTCTTTGAGAACATCAACAAGATAGACAACCCTTTATCCAAACTCACCAAACAGCAGAATGTGAACATGTAAATTAACAAAATCAGAAACGAAAAGGTTGCTTCCAAGTTCTGGCTATTACAAATAATGCTGCTATGAACATAGTGGAGCAGACGTCCTTGTTGTGTGAATTTACATCTTTTGGATATATGCCTAAGGGTGGAATTGCTGGGTCTTGTGGTAGACTGACTCTTTGGGAGTTACACATCATGCACTCCAATCCCACTCATTTCCCAGTTCCTCCATGTCCACCTTTCACCCCACCGGCTCCACCAAAGTAAAATTTTAAAAGAAAGAGATACAAATAAAAACATTGATGAAAAGCAAGCAAAACAACAATAAAAAGAAAAACAGGCAAACCAAACACTATGCTCCTCCATCTCTCCCATGTGTCTATCACCTCTACATTTGGATTAACGCACTGGAAGCTGCAGTGCGTCACATGTACCCTTTTGTCCTATCAGGTTTACTTGCAATTGCTCAGTGCAATGTGTCATTGGTCAGGCCCATGGTTCTCTTCTACCCACACAGGCCGAGTGACAATGCTCAGGCACGTGGGTGTCCTTCATCTGCCCTCTTTCCTTATGCTTTTTAAAAAACAGATTAATTTCCAAAAGTGAATCATACTCCATTTCCATCTTAAGAATTTTCATAACATATAGTGTTTCCCTTTTTTAAATTTAATTGTCATTTCTGAACAGGATGTGGTGATACTCATGGTACTACACTGGAGAAGGGAAGAGAATAAAGGGTTCAAGGACAGCCTTGGCCACATACCACTCTGAGGTCAACTAAGCTACATAAAGCTTTACCTCAAAAAGCTAAAACAAAATCTATATTACTGAGGTAATTTATTTTTTCTTCTCTGAGCTCTGCAGAGAGACGGCAGAGGGAGAGAAGACTTCCTGTAAAGCGTGTCTGCTTGCTTTGTTGTCATTTGGCTCATCTATTGGTTGGTATGGTTGTCTTTTCTTATTGTGAAAACACATTTTCCAGGAATTTTCTTCCTTCTTTTTAGTCTTTTTATACTGTCTTTCTTGAGTGCTCATCAGTGCTTGTCTATAATTAAGAGGGCTTCTTTCCTTCATGAGACTCACTTCCTATAGGACACTCTGGTAAATGGGAGAGAAGACGAATCAGTTCTTGGTCTATTTGTGCTGCAGTAACAGGGTACCAGAGGCTGGCATTATAGAAGGAATGTGAGCCTCACAGCTCTGCAGACTGCATCCAGGACTAAGATGCTGTCAAGCTTGGCCTTTTTGTTTTTTAGATTTTTTTATTATTTTAATTTTAAATAGCGTGTTTTACATTTCAATCCCAGTTCCCTCTCCCTCCCCTCCAACCCCACCACTACCCCCCATCTTCCCACCCTATCACCATTTCCTTCCACATAGGGGATATCTAGAGTCTGTCATTTCACTCAGGGTAGGGTCCAGCACAAATTGTCATCGGTGTATTTGATTTTAGCCATTCTGACAGGAGTAAGATGTTATCTCAAAGTTGTTTTGGTTTGCATTTTCCTGATGGCTAAGGATGTTGAACACTTTCTTAAGTGTCTCTTGGCCATTTTAGCCTCCT